TAAGTAAGTAAGTAAGTAGCTATGCATGTATGTATGTATGTATGTATGTATGTATGTATGTATGTGTGCTATGCGCATACAGACACATGTGCATGCTTCTTTTGAGCCCATGTTGATGTAACTGATTTGATGTCCCATGAGGTGGCCTCCGATTGCCCGTGCCGTTGGTGGCCAGCGAGGCAGAAGCTGCCAGGTTTATGGTGGCCTTATAAAAGTCTATATGATATATTATATACTATATACTATATANNATATTAGATATTATATATTATATATTGCTCTCTGATCCAAAAAATAAAACACACACGCCTTTTTTTGCTGAAGTGCCCGGTTCCCAGCCCTGCATCAAGAATGTGTGGCTGGCGAGTTGCAACACATAAGTCTTCTTTCCACCTTTGCAGCCCTTGACTCACTTCGAGTTGTTGATGTGATTTCGTTCCACCGTTCTCGAAGGCTTAAAAGCGCTGTGACCATATCCTGAGTATCAGAAACCTGCTCAGAGTGGTCGGCGGCTGCATTGACTGCTAAGAACACCTTGTCGGGCAAGAAGGTGCTGTTGTTGTGCGATGTGTGGGAGTGTGCAGCGCCGCGAAGCTGCACGCCGAATAATAGCAGATTATGTGCGAATCATCACGGGCATGACAGCTTCAGGCTTGCATTTGGGGGGCCTTGGGTTGATTTCGTGTCGTCCATTGTTCGGGCTTCAAGGTTAGAGAGGAGAAAGATGCTTGATGTCGAAAATCGGAAACGTCAGCAGGAAGGCTGTCGAGCCCACAAGAGAACAATGCTCGAAGTGTCGAAGTCAAGAGCAGGTGGACGAGATGACGAAGAAGATCGGAGGTAAACGAGACCACCTGGGTCAACTAATGCACCCGAGAGCTGATACCCGGGACCTGTCATGGCCTTCAGGCCCTGCGGCTGGCGGCCTCTCAGTGGTGGGGAACCAGAGAGCATCGGTGCTCTGTGGCAGGGTTTGGGAATGGGCTCTAGGAAGAGCCTGAAGTTGACCCATCCTTTGGGGATTTGAGGGGTGATGCTGAAGCATGCTGAAACGGCAAGGTTCCTGCGCTCCTTGGCCCGCCTCCCATTTCATGACCCACGCAGGTGTCCCGCGCGTTCACCTCCAAGTGCACTACCAGGTGAGATGCTTGCAGCCGCTCCCGACTGGTTCTCTTCAGAGAAGTGCCTGCTTCACTCAACATGGACATGCCATGACCTGTTAGAGCGGTTTCGAGCTTGTGCGAGTCTGGCACGAAGCCGTACACAGTATTACTGACTCCCTTGATGCTGCGTTGCGGTGGCTCCGAGCACCGGAATTCTGTGGCTTCCGCACGAAGTGCGGGCGCCGCTGGCCTAGGGTTCACTTCACTCTCGGTCCGGTCAAGCTTTGTGAAGCTCCATCTCCAAGTGCTGACCCCTGTCGCACGCGATGTTCACTATGGCCATATCAGATCAGACCGAGAAACTCGTCGCCTGAATTTTGGAGGCCGACTGCCTGAAAGGTTGCGTCGGCTTCGACAAGCACTGCCCGGACGCCGTGAGAACAGCTCCAGTGTGCGACGACTTCCTGCAACCTATAAGATCCTATAAGCCTTCTCTTCTTGTTGCCCCATGTCCGGGCAGAGTTTGCAAACCTCTTCTGCCATGTTGAGCTGGCCTTTTTGAGTTTGAGCCATGCCAGGCGACTAGGCTGCAGCCAGGTCTCGAGTCTCCAGCTGGTACTTTTCTCGAGCTTTCGCACGGTCTCCTCGGCCATGAGGTTCCATCGAAGAACGCTTCTATATGTACATGGACTGCTTGCATCCTCAATCCCGGCAAGTGTACACACCGCTGTTTGCTTGATACACCAGTGAGTTCGGACTGGCACGCGAGGAGCCCAGTCGCTTCCGCAGCTGGAAACGCGAACATGTCCAGGTGTCTCCCCTCAGGCTGCCATTGAAAACTTTCAGTGCATCTTGTTGCGTTTCGGTCCAGGCGTTTCGCTCCAGAGCTGGCCAAGGGAAGCATGCCCGGGATCCCAGTTCTGCAAATCGCCTTGGTTTTGAGAAGCTCATGATATGTTGTAGAAGGTAGATATCTGTAATTTGAAGATACAGCCTGAGCAGATCCGCTTCGTTCGTTACCCATGTCTGACTAGAGTCAGGAGGGAAAGAGAGGGAGGAGAGGCTGTCAATGCGCATCTGCTTGGCTCGTAGAAGTCGACGAAACTGCTCGGGTGATGCTTCTCTCATGGCTGCTGGCGCTCATCTCTTGCCTCCGGGCGTCTTTTTCGCAGGAGGTGCCGAAGTCTTCGCCTTCTGTCTTGGCTGCGGCCGTCAGTGCAGCTGCCAATGAGCACGCGGCAAGCGCGAGACTCCTGACGCTGGAAGCTCTGCCGGTGACCACTGCCTCTGAAGGTTCAAGAGCAAAGCCTGGGAAAACTGTGCAAGCCACAGCACCTCCATCCCTTGCCGCGCTGGCACTGCCGGCAGTCGAAGCAAGTGCAGCGATTGCAGCTGCCGCCATGGAAGCATCGGTTTTCGCCGAAAGCGTGGCCACGGCCGAGCATCTGCAAGCAAAGGCCACCAGAGAGCTGCCTGCGACATCCTTGGCGCCTCCCGTGCCTGCCCCAGGTGCACCGGCTGGCTGCTGGCAGGATGGCTACACACCGGAGCTCTGCTGCCGGGATCCACCCGTTGCCAACTGCTGGGATGCGGTCTTCACACGCCAGCGCTGCTGTCCAAAAAAAGAAACCCCTGAGGCGGATCTCTCCTCGTCCCACTCGCTGTCAGCGGAGGTGGCAGCGGTGGTGGCCGCCGCAGCCGCGCGGAATGTCGCCTCCCAGGCGACAGAGGCCAAGGAGGTCCGGAAGGAGACCCTAAAGCACACGGCCGGCGACGTTCAGACGGAGATGAGTAGTGAAAGCCCCAGCGAGGCAGCTGAGCAGCAGTTTTTTTTGCAGCAAGAAGCGCAACGCCGCTGGCCTTCTTATTTCAACCGAGCTCATGAAACACTGAATGCTGCAGAAGCGCCGTTGGACTCCAAGCCAGATCCGGTACAGCTGTATCATCTGCTCTATGAGACCATCAACCAGTTAGTCGGTGGCCTTTCACTTGCGGCTGAGGCTGCACAGAGCAACTCCCAGATGAAGCAAGCATTTCTGAATGCTGCCGTGTTGCTGGCCCGCTTAGCCCGTGCAAGCCGCGGTACACCGCTGGAGCACGAGGACTTCGCCTCTCAGTCCGCCGCGGCCATGGCACTGGGCTGTACAGGCGGGGATCCGACTGGGCCACAGTGCAACCTGGCCGAAAGCCTCCATCAATTTGCAATGTCACCAGACTTGGACGTCGACTGGCTTCAAGACGGGTTGAAACAGCTGAATGCGAGCAAGGTTGCTGGGGTCGACCATGCGGAGCGATTCCGGCGAATCTGGCTGATGTATTCTCAGGATCCCTCTAAGGCCTTGTGGCGGCCAGCAGGCGTGCCCTTCTTTGCAACCTCGATCAGCAGTAGATGATAATTTAGCCATGGGAACTGGTTCTGGTGATACCACTAACTACTGATTTTTGCTGGAATCTTCGTCGCCGGTTCCTCTTAGGGCTGACGCTCTTGGGATTGAGGCTGAGGACTTGCGTCCGAAGTTCGCTTCGGGGTTTTATTCCTTCGTGGGTCAGGTGGTCAGGTTTGCTGGCTGGGGCCAGGGCAGCGTCAGCTTCAAAGCTTCGCCTGTCCCGATTTTTTTATCGGCAAGAGTCGAGGCAGTATAGTGATGCTTGCGTGAGATTCTTACTCTAGTCTCTAATGCATAGGAAACCTGTAACAGGTCCGGATGGTCATCAAGGGGGGCGTACGAACACCTACAATCCCTTGGAGGTGGGTCAGCTTCAGCAAAGTGTGCGCGGCTCCGGAAGCATCTGGCAGCTCTTCCCCACGTACATCATGGCTCGGGAGATTGGGGGTCAAGAAGAATGGAATTTAATGTTTTACAGAGAATCTCGGAGCGATGAAACGGATGATATTCATGAAACTGCGTGCCAGCAATAAGCAGCCGTCATTTTGTGAGGAAAGACTCAGCTCCCTGTCCCGTTGCTGCAGTGCTTTCGGCCTTTGGGCAGCTCAGTCCTGTTTCTGGCAGGAGATCGGGCATGCCTTCACTTCTTCGAGGACCTCGCAAACCTGCATTGCGTGCGAGCAGCTTACGAGCATAGTGTTGCTCAGATTTGCCAGCCCCATTCTGCAAAAGAGTAGTCACTACTAGTAGCAATTACACCCGTCGCTGGAGCGAACCAGAGCTTTCATCGCAGCAGACGCGACCAAGGCTGCAAAGATACCAGCAATTTCGGGACGAAGGCTTCGGGAGGAACAGCCGCCAGGATGATGTCAACAATGCTTTTTTCAACTGGCAGCTCACCCACGACGCAGAGCAGGAGGAGGAGGGCGCTGATGTGTGGCCGGAGTTGTATCGAGACTCTCGAGACTTCCAAGAGCTGAAGACGCTCGTAAAGCTCTCGTCTCTGGAGTATCTCCAGCAGATCTACTCCGAAAAGGCCTTGTCCAAAACAGATCTGGAACAGCTCGAGCTCTCGATTTGGGCGTCGGTGACACCTCCGACTCGGAAGGCTGAGCGGACGGCTATGGGATTGGCGTTTCATGACCACCCGCTGGCGCTGCTGAGCGGCGTCTTCTACGCAGAAGCAGGTGGCGAGCTCGTGGCAGACCGCACGCCAACGGTCTTTGCAGATCCCCGTGGGACGACCCCATTTCGCTACACACGGATGCGCAGCGACGAGGGGGAAGCCACGTTGGAACCCACGGCGCCCTTCCATCGTCTGGCATATGCCCACCCAAGAAATGGTCTATCTTTGGTTTTCCCGTCCTGGCTGGTCCATGGGGTGGCGCCGCATCGGGGTCCCAGGGATAGAGTGGTGTTCGCTTACAATCTGCACACCGTGCCTGGCACAACGCTTGCCAGCTGGGCGAAGACGACGCTTTGAGCAGTCGTATTGAGAACCCCTCGCAGTTCCCGGGCACATGCTGTGCTTGCATTGGGGAAGCATATCTTGAATCACCGTAAAGCCGTTGCTTGCGACAGACGACCCAAACGACAGTTGCATCAGAGACTGGTTCGCTCAGCTGCACGTGGAGCACCGCACGCGTTCGACCCGTCGTTGAAGGAAGCCGGCATCCGGAACAAAGAGTCATGCTGGTCGCCACAGGAGCTCTCTGGTATCCCTGTGAGGCTGTGGGCTGGTATCCGAAGTGGCAGAGGCACAGAGACCGGGGCAGTTGGAAGTGGCTGATGAAGGAAGGTGATGTGCCCGTTGTGATTGCTTCTCATGTCAAATCATGATTGCTGGACGTTGACTGGCGCCCATCTCCGTGATTTGGTCTTGAATCTCTTGAAGTTGGCTTTGTGGGGTGGCCGCTGGAGCCATCTCATTCTCTGGTGTGAGTCTGGCATTTTGGGGAGAGTGTATGCCTTTCCTAGATTCTCGCAGCATGGAAGCCCTCCAGCATCAAAGTCAAACCTCCGTCCGAAGGAAGGGTGTCCCCGGTGCGGATCCATCTTGGGGGTAGATTCCGCAGCTTGTGATGCATCACTGGGGGGACAGTGTGCACATCCATGCCGCCTCAGACCGACCCCAAGAGCCAGGGACAAAAAAATAGCCAGAATTCGCTTTGGCTGCGTTTCGTTTCGCAGGGTGGAGGACTTCAGGATTCTCCAAAGCCTACGATGTTCTACAGGTAACCCATCCGGGACCTCTAGAATGAGGGGGTTTATGTTCTGAACGCTTTGGGTGCTGTTTTTTTTCCTCCGCTTCTCAGCAATCTCGGGCACTTTGCATGCAAGGCAGAGCAGCTCCTCTCGTTCGGTCCGTCTCAGCTTCTGTCTGTGACTAGTGCACATTGCACAGCATCTTGTGACCCTTCGTTTCAGGCTAAGCTCCTGTAAAACAACTCCAGCCGCAGACAACGCAGTCAACTTCAAACCTCTCCGAGATGCAGTTTCTCGGAACGAAGCAAGTTTATGAACCCCAAACCATGAACCCTTAACTAAGCCCTAAACCCTAGACCACGCCCTAATCCCCAAACCCTTCTCATTGCAGATGGTGGTGCCATGGCCGGTGCCGGTTCATGAAACTGCCATCGCTGATGTGGGCTTTCGGGGCATCAGCGTCGGCCAACTCCGTGAGCTCGCCGACTACCTGAGGCCAGGTGGAGGTCAGCAAACAAAATAAATCTAATCTGTTAATTATAATGATCATAATAATGATTAATTAACTAATTAATTCATTCATTCATTAGTTAATGAATTAATGATAATAAATAACAGCAAGAACTTATAAAGAAACAAACACAAATCTGGCATCAACACATATTATTGTATATAAGTTATATATATATACACACATAACTGTCTCATTTTTATTAGCTTAATTACTTCTACCATGATTGTTAAGGGTTACTATTATTATTGTTGTTATTAGTATTGTCAGTATCATTGTTGTTATTATTATTGTTATTACCATTGTGATTATAACACACGTATGCGTATATATCTATATAATATGACTGTATATATATATACATACATATACATATATATACATACAGATATACATATATACATATATATATATATATACATACATAGATATATACATATATATA